ACACTTCGTTGCAGAATTTAAGGCCATTGTTGGTTCTCAACCTCTTGAACTTTTTGCCAGTTTGAGTTTCGACCAGAATCTTCCAACTTTTGAAATTCTCAAAAGTTTCATCCTGCGCCTTCTGAATGAATACCCATAGTTTTCTGGAATAGTCATCAATGATGGATAGAAAATACCTTGCACCTGAGTGTGAAGGATTCCTTGCAGGCCCCCAAAGATCAGCATGAATGTAGTCCAGGGATCCATATGTTCTTTGCTTGCCTTTGTTAAACTTCGCCCTACAGGATTTACCAAATACACAAGATTCACAAAACTCCAACTTTTTGACTTTGTCACCTCCTAGCAGGTTCTGCTTCCCCAATTCGACCAAGCCTCTTTTGTTGACATGGCCCAATCTCATGTGCCATAATTCTGTTTTCGACACAGGTTTCTTGGATGCAACATTTGTCGAACCACTTACAACCTCAGCCTCAAGGGTATACAAGCCTTGTTTCTTCATGCCTCTCAAGACTTCCTTCGACCCCTTCATGACTCTTAGGATACTCTTCTCTCCTTGAAAAACATATCCCTTTATGTCGAGTTCACCAAGAGAAATCAAATTTCTCTTCAAGTCAGGTACATACCTGACTTCAATCAAGAACCTTATTGACTCATCATGGAGCTTGAATCTCACAGATTCAATACCTACAATTTTGCAAGATTTGTTGTTTCTCAGCAGCACAGATCCACTATCTTGATCACATAGCTCCTCGAACAATTCTCTATTTAGAGTCATGTGCCAAGTGCAACCTGAATCCATAATCCACCCTTTTCTCGAGTCGCCACTTGAAACCACAAGAACATCAGATGAGTTGAAGTTATCTTGAACAATGGATGCATTGCCATTACCTCCATAATCTTTCAGGCGTTCAGGGTACACTTTTCTTATGTGACTCTCCTTCTTACAGTGATAACATCGAATACCAGATGTTTCGCCACTATAAGACTTCTGTTGACTTTTACGTTTCTTCTTGTCGAACTTACCATCCTTTCGCAAGAATTTTCCCTTAACGGCCAAACCTTCTCCCACCGTCGAATGTCTATGCTCCTTTTGTTCGTTCAAGTCCTTAGAATACAAGGTTGATTGAACTTCTTCAAAGGTCAGAGACTCCCTTCCATACAAGAGAGTTTCTTTGAAGTGGACATCTATTTTGGGCAAAGCACACAACAGTAACAGTGCTTGATCTTCATCATCGATCTTCACATCAATACTTTCAAGATCAAGTATCAGCTTGTTAAACATATCCAACTGCTTAGCCAACACTTTTTCCTCACTCATCTTGAATGAATACAAAGCTTGCTTCAGGTAGAGTCGATTCACTAGAGATTTGGTCATGTACAAACTTTCAAGTTTCTCCCATAATCCCGATGTTGTAGTCTCCTTTGATACCTGTCGAAGAACCTTATCACCAAGGCTCAACAATATTGCTTTGTGGGCTTTCTCGATCATGCCAGTCTTTTCTTTTGCAGTTAACGCAACGTCCATGGCTGCCTTACCCTTCAACGCTTCCAAACAATCATGCTGAACTAGTAGGGCTTTCATCTTCAAGCGCCACAGACCGAAGTCGTTCACTCCGGTGAACTTTACAATCTCATACTTTGTTGAAGGCATCTTCTCCATGCTCACCGCACCAATTTATTGTGAATCAGATACCTTTAAACAAAGTATAAACAGTTTCTTCCTTATCAAAAAACACACAAGGGTTAGAGTTTAATAAAGAAAACAAGGTAAAACAACAAGAAACAACAAAGATTGGTTATAAACAATTATTCTTTCCTTTCTCTTAGAAATAGAATACAAGTATACAAGAATAACAAAATAACCTATCTCTCTTGAAATTAGGATTTTATCTTCCTATTCTTTCTTATGCCAAAATTGAGAAACTAGCATCCTATTTATAAGACAAAATAGCACACTAACCTAATGGACTTTTTAACAATTACCCATTACAAGCTAACTTAGGGTACAAGATAACTTAAGCACTTGGGCTTACAAGCAATGCACAATCCAATATGCTAACAACCTAGCAATATTGACTAATGCATGTTAGAACAAACTTCGACTACAACACGCATTATCTTTGACAACAACATGCAAACAGACTTCGACCTCATGCTTAATCCATGTCGAACCAAAAACTACCCTTCGACCATACTAGAGTTCGATCCAACATCTCACTAATATATAGTTCATGAATGATCGTGTTGAAACCATTTGAAACATTGGTTCGATAAAGACAATTGTTACCATAAAATATACACGAAAATTACATCTTTCAAATGTCAAAATTTATATCTAAATCATTCTTTTATTTTTTTAGTGCACATAAATGAGAGAACGTTATTCAAATGTTTTAAAAATCGAACCGGTCATCAAACCGGTGAGTCATTGGTCGAACTACATGATTAAATTGGATTAAACCAGATAACTCGGTTGAATAAACCGGTCTCTATAAAAAAAACTATGTATTTAATAAATCGGTCGAACCAGATGACTCGGTCTCTAAAAAATATCACGCCACCTACAAAATTTCAAAATGTCATAATTTCACAAATTCATTCTTTAATTCAAACTCTTGACGTAGTCATCACACACGACAAAATAGTACAAAATACAAATTCAAATAAAATTTGAACTAATATATGATTACAAACAAATAAAATTGTTCTAAATAAGTTTTGAATAACGTCTACTTATATTTTAATTTTATTTGAAAAAAATAAATTATCAAAACAACGTTGTTATTATGAAGAAAAAAAGACATGCATTTAAATCGCCGGTTCACCGTTTTTAGCGGTTTTAGCTGGTTATGACCGATTTCTACTAGTTTAATAGCATATCTGATCCAACAATCAGGTCAAACCGATAATCTCTTCGATTTCAAGTCCGACATGTCGATTTGATCTGATTTTTAAAATATTATTTTGTTCTATAAAACATCATTGATCAATACGTCTAATATAAAAGCGCAATTCGTATTAAAATTTAAAAAATATTATTAACGGAATTTGTCAGACCATTTATTTACATTCAATTTATCTAAATTAATAAGAATACATAAAACACAAAACTAAATAAAAATACATCTTTTAAAATTTATTTTATTTTATACAATTTTCATCGTATTATTTTCATTTTTTTCTTCCTATAACATAAGATTTAACCATATAAAATACATTTAAAAAGTCCTTTTAGACTTTACCATAAAAGTTTTCTAAAATATTAGTACTATTGTTAGAAAAAGAGAGAAGAACTTAGCACGATTGATAACTATATGGGGATTTTAATGAAGTAAAATTTTAAAAAGATAATAAAGTAAAAACATTTGTATTATCCACTATTAATTGACGCAATATTTAGTCTTAACACACTTGAAATAAAATAAAATAAAAAATATCAAACATTTTCTCCTCAAACGCTTTCAATGTTTATTTCAATATCCACACCATCGTCCTGACCAAGTATTTGAACATTCCTGCAAACGCATTCTTCTAGATATCTGACAGCACACGTTTTCCATAGAAAATTTCATTCATCATTTGTCTACAGTACACTTTTGAAAAAAATATCCAAAGTATTTTAAAGTTAATTCACCCACTTTAGTTTGTCGGCACATTTGATTAACAAGGTAATTGTGGACCCCACTTTGCTTCCATAGGACCAAAAGTCATAACTACTGCGTTGAGTAATCCAATGAATTAAATAAGCATTAAGGGAATGCCATCTCTTCGTGTATGTGTGTAAGACTACCTTGCACAAGTTTAAAAAGCTAATTTTTTATAATATGTTTTATCAACTCATTTTTAATTTTTTCTCTTTACTATGTGATTCTATAAGATATTTGAGATCTTTTATGCTGTTTTTTAGCGAATATATTAGAACAATAATAATAGATATTTGAAGAATTATCATTTGAACCAATTTTATATACTTGATTCTTATGTCTTCGCTAGTCATCTATAACAAATTAAACAGTAAAATTTACTCTAATTATAAATTCATACAAATAAATCAAATTAAAATATTTATAACAAATAAAATAAATCATATCAAAATAAAAACAAATAGATTAAAATTTTTTAAAACAAATCAAATATATAATTTCAATCGCAAATTAATTAAGAATTTTTATAGAAATCAAAACTTATGTTACAAATAATTATTTTTCTATTATACTACATAGTATTATTAGCCAATTTTATGTTACAGTAACTAATTTTAATTTTTCTCTATACATAATAAGAATACAATCAACGTGAATAGTAGTGAAAAACAATCGGAACAGTAATTTTGCAATAAATCTAATTTATACTTTTGTTCTTAATAAAAATTAATTTAACATACAAAACACTATAAAGCAACATACATCGTAATTTTATGTTTTGTTTTTAGTAATTATATATAATTTCTGAAAAATGAAAAAGACATGAACATGAAGATAAATCAAGATATTTAATTTAATAGAGCACGCATATAAATACAGGTAAAAAAAGAAAAGAAATATGATGTACTTTGTTAGAGTAAAAGAAAGGTAGACTCTTTACAAACAAGAAGAAAACTTGTAAAGAAGAAAAATTACCGTAAAAATTTGAAGGAAAAATTGATAAATTAATTTAGTAACCAAAAACTCTCTTTTAATATTTTCTGATTATAACGAATACTCCATCCATTTCAAAAATATATTCTATAGTAGTAAAAAAAATTTAATAATCTTAAATACAAGTAAAAACTATCCTATAATTATTAATTTAATATCACTATTTTAAATATATTTTCCAACAATAACTAGTACTAATATCATATCTAGTTCCTATTCCTTTTTCAATCATTCACATTCATTTTCATCTCTGAACTGAACTCTGCACAAGTTAATCTCTTTCTTCTTCTTCTTCAATTTAGATCCATTTTTAACCCTAACGATCTGTATGAACTAACTAAGATTCTACTTTGTAGGTAATTAATGGCGCAAATTCTGCTACACGGAACTCTTCATGCTACCATCTATGAAGTCGATAAACTCAAGAACGTTGGTGGTAGTAACATTCTTAGCAAGGTGCTAATTTTCTTCTTTCTCTTTCTCTTATTTTTTCGGTTTTCATTTTTTTTCAATTACTTGCTAACTGATTCTTACTTACTTAGCTTAGTTGTTAGATTTCTGGTATTTGTTAGTTAAACGGTTATTTTTCTGTTGTAGAAATTTGTAACATGGAATGGAATTAGTAGATTTGGTTATTGATCTATCTTGTTGTTAATCTCAGTGATTGTGATTCAGATTTCATAATCAATCATTCAACAGTTCAATCCTATCCTCTGTTCTAGATTCTGAAATATTGTTAGCTTTTTGTTAATTGGAATTTGTATTAGAGTTTTTTTCACTGATTTAGCTTGATGAATTTCAAACAACAAGATCGAATTTTCTGTGGTCATTGATTTGTAGCTTGTTGATTTTTTCATGCCTTATCCGAATTGAAGTGATAAAATTTGAATGGTGGTGAAGACGAGTTGGTTGGAAGGATAATGATTTTTTTTATAATTTATTTCATGGATTGGTTGATTTGTTTTTGTGAAAAAGAAAAAAATTGATTATCATAATGAAGAAAAAGGGGAAGCGGTTGGGTTTGGTCCATGGATAGGACAAAAGTTAATCAAGCCAATAATATGCTCTTATGAATCACACTTCAACACAATAATCATTTTAAAAAATGAATAAATTGAATGTGATTATATGCATCAAACACATGTCGAATACTGACACCCATCAAATACCAAACACACCTTTGTTCTAAAGTATTTGAGTGTCAGTGGGTGTTACGTAGTTTTTATACTCCGAAGCTTAATTGATGTTGTTCTCCTTGATGGTTGATTCTTGTGTTGCTAATTACATTGAGTTATTATTTTTTAGATTAAACAAAACTTCGAGGAGACGGTTGGATTTGGAAAAGGAACTACCAAACTTTATGCAACCATTGATTTGGAGAAAGCACGAGTGGGAAGGACCAGGAAATTAGAAAAGGAGCATACTAATCCTAAATGGTATGAGTCTTTTCATATTTATTGTGCTCATTTGGCAACAAATATCATATTCACTGTGAAAGATGCCAATCCTATTGGTGCAACGTTAATTGGAAGAGCATATGTGCCTGTTGAGGATGTGTTGAGTGGTGAGGAAATAGATAGATGGGTTGAAATATTGGATGTGCATAAAAATCCAATTCATGGAAATTCAAAGATCCATGTGAAGATGCAGTTTTTCGATGTTTCAAAAGACCTTAACTGGGCTCTAGGCATTAGAAGTCCTAAATTCCCTGGAGTTCCTTATACTTTCTTTACTCAAAGACAAGGATGTAAGGTTTCTCTATACCAGGATTCTCATGTCCCGGACAATTTTGTCCCGGATATACAACTTGCAGGAGGCCAGACTTACAAGCCTCAGAGATGTTGGGAGGATATTTTTGATGCAATCACAAAAGCAAGGCACTTAATATACATTACAGGGTGGTCTGTGTATACTGAGATTTCCTTGGTAAGGGATTCAAGAAGGCAAAAGCCGGGAGGTGACATAACGCTTGGTGAGCTTCTCAAGAAAAAAGCACAAGAAGGTGTTAGGGTGTTAATGCTTGTTTGGGATGATAGAACATCGGTTGGTTTGTTAAAAAAAGATGGGTTGATGGCTACTCATGATCAAGAAACTGCGGAATTCTTCCATGGATCTGAAGTGCACTGTGTTTTATGCCCTCGTAATCCCGATGATGGTGGAAGCATTGTCCAAAATATATCAATTGGTACCATGTTTACTCATCATCAGAAAATTGTGGTGGTGGACAGTGAGTTGCCAAGTCAATCTGGATTAGATAAGCGAAGAATTGTGAGTTTTGTAGGAGGTATTGATCTCTGTGATGGAAGATATGATACTCAGTTTCATTCACTTTTCAGAACCTTGGATACAGCACATCATGATGATTTTCATCAGCCTAACTTTCCTGGTGCTACAATTCAAAAAGGTGGTCCTAGGGAACCTTGGCATGATATCCACTCAAGGCTTGAAGGTCCTATTGCTTGGGATGTTTTGTTTAACTTTGAGCAAAGATGGAGGAAGCAAGGTGGAAAGGACTTGCTTGTTCCTCTGAGAGATCTTGAAGACGTTGTTATTACCCCATCCCCGGTAACTTTCCCTGATGATCAAGAGACATGGAATGTTCAGTTATTTAGATCTATTGATGGTGGAGCAGCTTTCGGGTTCCCGGACACTCCTGAAGATGCTGCTAAAGCCGGGCTTATTAGTGGGAAGGATAACATAATAGATCGAAGTATTCAAGATGCTTATATCAATGCTATTCGACGCGCCAAAAATTTCATCTACATTGAAAATCAATATTTCCTTGGAAGCTGCTATGCGTGGAGTGCTGATGGGATTAAGCCCGAAGACATTGGTGCTTTGCATCTGATCCCAAAAGAGCTTTCACTTAAAATTGTTAGTAAGATTGAAGCTGGGGAAAAGTTCACCGTGTATGTTGTGGTTCCCATGTGGCCTGAAGGTGTCCCAGAAAGTGCATCGGTTCAAGCAATATTAGACTGGCAGAGGAGAACACTGGATATGATGTACAAAGATATTATTCAAGCACTCAATGCCAAGGGAATTGAGGATGATCCTCGGAACTATTTGACATTCTTCTGTCTTGGAAACCGAGAGGTGAAAAAAGAAGGAGAGTATGAGCCTACTGAAAGACCAGAACCTGATACAGATTATATCCGAGCTCAAGAGGCCAGGCGTTTCATGATTTATGTCCATGCCAAGATGATGATAGGTAAGTAAAATCATCAAGCTGCCTCGTTTTGTATAACATTCTTTCAAACATTTCCTCTCCAATACTCTTTATGTTTTGGTAAAATTCACGTGGGTCTCCTTTCGTATTTAGTACATCTCATTTTCAAAATGATCGAGACCCGCGTGAATATTGCCCAAACCTCACTCGCTCATACTATTCCTTTTCATGATAAGTTTTTCGAGTCTTGCATCAAATTTGAAATTAATAAAAGAAAAATGATAAGTATTACATTACAATATCCCTTTTACTTCACCAAGGAAACATTCTTTGTTGATAGAAATTCTTAGTGTGGTAGAATTATTCTTTTGCAGTTGATGATGAATACATAATCATTGGATCTGCCAACATCAACCAAAGATCAATGGATGGTGCTAGAGACTCTGAGATAGCAATGGGAGCTTACCAGCCCTATCATTTAGCTAATAGGCAGCCTGCAAGGGGTCAGATTCATGGTTTCCGCATGTCGTTGTGGTATGAGCACCTCGGCATGCTTCAAGAATCCTTCCTTCACCCAGAAAGTGAAGAATGCATTAAGACGGTGAACCAGATTGCTGACAAGTATTGGGATATCTATTCCAGCGAGTCCCTAGAGCAAGACCTCCCCGGTCATCTTCTCCGCTATCCAATTGGGGTTTCGAACGAAGGAAATGTGACAGAGCTGCCAGGATTTGAATTCTTCCCCGACACCAAGGCTCGTGTTCTTGGCGGAAAGGTTGATTACCTGCCACCTATACTTACTACTTAGTTTCATTGTATATTTTGTTCACTAAATAAAGTAATTGTGGTGTTACTGTGTGAGCAATGAGGGTAATGGTACAATAGTGCTGCGAATAAGATTGAGATAATTAAGGACTATGCTGTTGATTTGTAATGCTAGTGCTTTCAGCTCTTTCTATGTTTAACTATGATAAATTCTAGCTCGGAGGCTTTACATGTATTCTACTGTCTTTGTTGTAATTTTAAATTTTGAAGTTTTTTCGTTTTCGATACTAGCAATTTAGTTTTTAAAATTTTTAGTAACTTGCAACTTTACTGATAGAGTATCTTAGAATTGAGTTCGAATTCAATTCTAAATATGCAATATTATTAAATTTTTAGGAGGGAAAATTTGATTGCAGTCATTTCCAACTCGAATAATGTCATTTCCAAACTCAAGGAATTAATCTCTAGTTAAGTCATAGGATACCATGTTTCTATACAATACTTTACGATCAATATTTCGATTATATTGTTAAATTTTGAAGAATAATTTTACTATTTATCATGGTCTCTCCGCATCAAGGATATCCCGTTTGTGAAGGAAAAGAAAAACTTGACAATCATTATGTCCCACCACTGCATTGTGTTTCGTTCACTTATCACGTAACACGTGTTAAAAATGTCGCAAATGAGATAGGTGAATAAATGAGATAGGTGAATAAATGAGAGAGGTGAATAATTGATCAAAAAAAAGAAAAAAAAGAAAAATTATCTCATAGAGCACCCACACAATGTACCCAAAGTAAGGGCGGTCCCATTTAAAAAGTTAGAGAACTGCCCAATAAAAGGTACTTTTATAATTTTATTTTTCAATTTTTAAAGAATTAAATATTAATAATAAATGTATATTAAATAATATATTTAAAAAATATTAATTTACTAATGAATATATATTAATTAGTTTTTAAATTATAATAAGATAGTAAGAATAATTTAAATTTATTTATATATAGATAATTATTTAATTAATTAACTTTTTTTAGGCCGACATCATAATTTAAATACAAAGTTAGCATTATAATTGACGATTGTTTTATATTAATTTATTATTTAAATATAGGTTCGACACTGTAATGGACAGTTGTTGAATTTTTTTTTAAGAAAATCATGTATTGATTTTTAATTACCAAAATAATGCAGTATTCAAAAAATTTACCAAAGTGGCTATAAAGCCTACCTTGGGTCGCCATTTGAAATGGCAAATGTGATGACAACTGAAATTGGAAAAGGTGAATTCGCCAATTCAAATGGAGAATGAGTTGTGATTGGAAGCCATGCGCCATACCAATTGGCGAATGAGGGAAAACTAGGGTTCAATAATTCATTTTGATTCATTTATGTTTTTATTAGTTTTTAATAAATTTTAATAGCTTGATTAATAATGTTTTATTATATTTTTTAAATAGTTTATTTTAAATACCATATTTTTAATTGAAATTTATTTATGTTTTTATTAGTTTTTAATAAATTTTAATAATTGATTAATAATGTTTTATTATATTTTTTAAATAGTTTATTTTAAATATCTTATTTTTTAATTGAAATTTAATTAAATTAAAAAAAAATTAGGGTATAGAATGTTAAAATGAAATATAGAAATAACAAATTATATTAATTTAGAATCTACTGAAAAGTACAATTACAATTTAACAAAAGAAAAAAACTAATGACCGACTCTATCCAAGTGACTACCGGTGCCACATTGTGGGGGACGTGCATTGCGATGAGGTCTACGAAGAGCTTGTCGTGGGGGACGGCCCCGACGTATCAGATAGAGTTTGCATCATTTGACCGCAATAGCCGGGAGGTCCACTGTCAACGGCACTTCCGTAGTCAAGCTCGATGCCCATGTTTTCGAAGGATTGTCGGGGAGGTTGGGTGGAGTATGGACGGTATGGTTGTCTGAATGTGTACATGGAGTTGGGTTGGTCTATGTGTGTTGGTCGTTGCGGGGTGTGGTAGTCGAATAATGGATAATTTGGGGGGTTGTTGGAGGTGTAGTTGGAGGGGGGAGGGTCAAATGAGTTGTCTGGGCTATAGGTGGAGGGGGTAGGCTCAAAAGAGGTATCAGGGCTGTAATGGTAAGGTGGTTGAGGCTGGGATTGGGTGGGTGGTGGCATGTAAGGTTGTCGTTGTTGATATGGGTTATTTGATGGCATGTAGGGGTTTTCGTAAGGCTGGGTTTGGGCACTGAACTGTTGTTGTGGGTTTGATGAAGAACCGCGTTCCGTTGGGTCAGCCAAATAGGTTGGCTGGGACAGGAAAGGCTGAGATGTCGTGACAGACCTAAACCAAGTCATATATTGAAGACTTGGCCTAGCCCCGTGCACAATACGGTCGGTTAAGACGTATTGCCTTCTTCTTTTCCAGTGTATACGCAACTCCTTCGCAAACTCCTTCCAGTCACTGACACTCCACTATGCGTCTACCCGCTTTTGATGCCACTGCCCCAAGTCTACCAGAGCATCTGGAATATCCTGATGCATCCCAAATTGTAGTTTCACCCGGTCACTCTGGTGCATCTCCACCGTAGTGAACCTTATTATGGGTGTCTTTGATGTCCACACAGCGGTATCGTCGGGGTTGGGCTCGTGGTCGAGACCCTCGTACGGCATCCAGACAAACTACAATAAAGTTGGACAATTAAGTTAGACAGAGTTTGAGAGGTTTATGCATATACATTAAAAAAAATTAATGGCAAATAACTTACATCATCCGGCCCAAGGTGGTCGATTAGGTTGCGATATTGAATTATTGAGTGCCTTGGACATCTCTGATAATTCATCCCTGTGACAGACCACCTAAAAAAATAAACACATCTTAGAAATTATTAACTGAAAAAGAATATGTAGTTGCTAAATAATCTTGAAAAGATACTTACTTGTTGGCGTACCGGAACGTAAAAGAATTCCTGTTTATTGGAGCAAGCATTGGCATCCTAGACCAACCCCACATTTGCAGAAGATACGCACAACCATAAAAAGTGTAGGAATTTTTTTTGAAGTTTTACAAAGTGCGCTATATAGAAGGGCGAGGACAGCTGATCCCCAGCTATATTCACACACTTTGTTAATATTCCGCAATAATGGTAAATACATAGTATGGACGGTATTTCCAGTGCCATCTGGAAATAAAAAAGTGCCCGAATAAAATCATAATATAGCCCCGATTTTTTTGTATTTTCTCAAACTCGATGCTATCATCAGTTAAGAAAATACGGTTGTATTGTTCTCTAAGGTATTTTAAATTTATTCCCTAACCCCTCGGACGGCCCTCGCTTTCCGCCTGAGGTCAGTCCGTACAAAGAGGGGCGCCCAATAAATCTACGCAAAGTTGGTCAGAGACACCAACTTTGCCGTTGACGGCCTTACCATCGATGTGGAGGCCGAGCAACATGTAAACGTCCTGAAGAGTCACAGTACACTCACTAAAAGGTAGGTGAAATGTATGTGTCTCCGGTCTCCAGCGTTCTAACAACGCTAGAATAAATTTCATGTCGAGGGAATAAGATTTGATTCTGATCAAATCACTAAACCCACAATGAGTAAGGTAGTCCGAAATGAGCGGGTCGTGTGGTATGTAATCATGCACACAACATCGAAACCTTGATACATCCTGCAGAAAAATGAATGTTACGTTAGAGAAGAAGTAAAATTACTAATGTCTTTTTAGACAAAATTGTAAACATAGACAAGAACAAAAGACTTACAAACTCAGCGATGTTTTGAGTCGTCCCTCTGTGTGAGTCACCCATGGTCAGTAGAGACATTGTCGTTTGGGATGTTGAGATTTAGAGATGAAGACTTGAGAGTTTGAGAGTTGAGAGGTTGAGAGTTAAGAGGTTGAGAGTTGAGAGGTTGAGAGTTAAGAGGTTGAGACTTGAGAGTTTGAGATTTGAGAGTATGAGAGTTTAAGTGTGAGTAGAATTTGATGGGTAAAGACCCTATATTTATATTCAACGATCTGATATGTTGTAAATGCATGCTTCACAAGTGGCTTGAAGAATGTGTTGTGTAAGAGCTTGGTGGACGTGTGTCGTCATGCATGTGTTGTGTAAGTGCATGTTGGACTAATGTCATGATGCATGTGATGTAAATGCATGTTGGACTAATGTCATGATGCAATGTCTTGTCTAATCAAGCATGGTGGATGCATGATCACATGTGAAAAGGAGATTCCTTCATTGTCTCGTCTCATCAAACAGGCTGCATGTCATTGATTGTGAAGCATGCGTGACAATTGAAAGGCAGAGATTCCTGGTGCGGCATCACATGTGAAAGCAGAACTTTGCATTGTCACGTCATATTATGGGTCATATTTTGTTTTTTGCATATTATGGTTTTTTCTTAATTAAAGAGTTATTGTTTTTTTTTTATGTATGATAGGTTCTGATGGTTGCAAACACATGCACGAACAGTATTCTGATGCGTGTCATTGATTCCTGATGCATGTCATTGATTCCTGATGCGTGTCATTGATTCCTGATGCGTGTCATTGATTGTGAAGCATGCGTGACAAGTGAAAGGCAGAGATTCCTGATGCGGTATCACATGTGAAAGCAGAACTTTGCAGTGTCATGTCTTATCAAGTGTTCTGTTCATTGTCATGAGATTAATTGTGGAGCACGCGTGACAAAGTTCATTGTTGTTACATGTAAATAAACATTTAAACTCTTTAACAAATACTCAGCCCATTTTATAAAGCCTTTAAACTCTTTAAATAATCAAACACTCAGACGCTCAAACACTCAAACACTCAAACATTCAAACACTCAAACATTCAAACACTCAAACACTCAAACATTCAAACACTCAAACACTCAAACACCACAATTTTCTCTATGTCTCAAACACCACAATATGTGATTTCCGCTCATCTGAACGGTGAAGTTTTCGAATGTGAAGTGTCGGGATACAATTTCAGAAACACGGATGTTACAAAAATTTTAATTGACAGAAGGTCTAATTTTTTACACCTGAAGTCAAG